TCAGATAGAGTCAGTCGTGATCTTTAAAACAATCCAGTTTAGTGTCACTATCTTGCTATATATTAAACCAGGTGATTGGAGCTTTTGTTTAGGCTCTATAGCATAATACTGTTGTTGTTGTAGTTTTGGTTTTTTTCTTCTGGCGCTTGGCTCTTTGATGGCCCACCACTCAGCTCCCAAATAAATCACACACAGAGTCTTATTCTTGCTTATGAATGCCCAGCCTTAGCTTTACTTGTTTATTGCCAGTTTTTCTTAACTTAAATTATCCCTACTACCTTTTGCCTCTGGGCTTTTTCCTTTTTTTACTTCTGTATATATTACTTTCAGTCTTACTCCATGGCTGGCTGGGTGGCTGAGAGGTTGACCCCTGGTGTCTTCCTCCTTTATTCTATCTTGCACCTTCTCTTTCTTCCCAGGTTGCTCCCATATTTATCCTCTCTGCCTGCCAACCGGCCTATCCTTTCTCCTACCTCACTATTGGTCGCTCAACTCTTGATTAAACCATCAGGTATTTTAGATAGGAAAAGAATCACAGTTTCACAGAGTTAAACAAATGCAGCATAAACAAAAGCAACACACCTTTACATCATTAAACAAATGTTTCAGAGTATAAACAGTTGTAACACATCTTAAAATAATATTCTGCACATAATACTTAAGCAGTATAGCTCTGAAATTAACAGATGTATGTAAATCCTGACTGTATGGATTAAGGCAAGTTGCCTAACTTCTTTGTACTTGTCAAATGAGGAGTTAGGTCTCAGTTGTCACTTCTGGTGCTTGCATATTGTTGGCAGGGTTGAAACATTTTTTCCTTTTCTTTTTTTTAATACTTTTTTATTTTTTGTTTTTTTGAGACAGGATTTCTCTGTGTGTATCTCTGGCTGGAACTTACTCTATAGACCACCCTGGCATCGAACTCAGAGATCCACCTGCCTCTGCCTCCCAAACGCTGGGATTAAAGGAGTACACCACAACTGCCCGCTTAAAACGTTCTTTTTGTTTTGTTTTTCAAGACAGTGTTTCTCAGGAGTTATGGAGCCTGTCCTGGAACTCACTCTGTAGATAGACCAGACTGGCCTTGAACTCACAGAGACCTGCCTGCCACTGCCTCCCAAGTGCTGTGATTAAAGGCATGTGCCACCACCACCCAGTTTAAAATATTCTTAATTAGATTTTTATCTGTTACTTAAAGCACTTATATATCAAAGTGTGTACTAAAAAATAAGTTTATGGGGCTGGAGAGACCGCCTAGTGATTAAGAACATGCACTGCTCTTCCAGAGTACTGAAGTTCTCTTCCCAGCATCCACATCAGGCAGCTTGCAACCACCTGTAATTGCAGCATCTGACATCCCTGGCATCATCTGGCACCTACACATATGCACACAGACACACTCACTCACACAGACATACATATACAATTAAAAATAATAAAATTTAGTCAGGAAGTGGTGGTGCACGCTTTTAATCCCAGCACTTGAGAGGCAGAGGCAGGCAAATCTTAGGAAGTTTGAGGCCAGCCTGGTCTACAGAGCAAGTTCCAGGATAGCCAAGATCGGTACACAGAGAAACCCTGTCTCAAAAACCAACAACAGGGGGCTGGAGAGATGGCTAAGTGGTTAAGAGCATTGCCTGCTCTTCCAAAGGTCTTGAGTTCAATTCCCAGCAACCATATGGTGGCTCACAACCATCTGTAATGAGATCTGGTGCCCTCTCTGGCCGGTAGGCACACATGTAGGCAGATATTGAATGCATAATAAATGAATAAATATAAAAAAACCAACAACAACAACAATAATAATAACAATAAAAGACAAAAAGTAAGTTTCTTTCCTATCGCCAATCCTCAATTTCCTTCATCGCAGATAACAATTGTTATCATATTTGTTGTTTATTTGTTGAGCATTCATAGGTGTTAAATTTATAATCTGTATGTTGCTTCGTTCTTCTTTATTTTGGTTTTGTTTGTTTGTTTGTTTTTCACTGAGTTCCTGGGATACATTCATCATGGAAGCAAAGGTAGAATGACAGGTACAGGATGTAGTTGCTCACATTCCATTATCGCAGCCTAGAGGACCCAGCTTCCAAAGCAAATTCCACAGCATAGCACAAAGACTTTTTAATCTGAGGGGTTAGGAAAAGAAGACACTCATACCTGTTCTGATGTACTTTTTCTTTAGTCTCTCATGTTGAAATCCAATTCCCTTTGTTCTTCACGGCTATATATACCCAACAAAATCTTTCAGACAGTATAGGAGTTACATTTGAAGGTCACATGTCATTTCTTAAGTAATATATATATATATACATACATACATACATACATATATATACAATATGTGTATTCAGGTTCTCTCTATATACATGGATATATACACTGACACATAAATAAGAATGCATCTTATATATAATATAGCTGCTTCATTTTCTTTTACTGTGGGGCCCAGACTTGCCTAGAACTCTCTCCATAACCCACTGCTTCACTCTTTTGACAGCTATATAGTATTCTTCTGTGTGTATATTTTATTTAATTAGCTCCTTGTTACTGGACAATTTCAGCCAAACAGAATGCTCTGAAAATCATACGCATGTATTTAACATGTGCAAGTCTCTAATTCCTAGAGGGGGAAAGTGTAATTATCTTTAAGGCAGGGCTCTGGATGGCCTAGAACTTGTTACAGGCTGGCTTCCAACTCATGGAAGTCTGCCTGCCTCTGCTTCCCAAGTACTGGAATGAAAGGCTTACACAACCATGTCCAACCTTAGGGTAAATTTTTTTAAAAAATTAGTTTTAAAAGCTTTACTATCTAGGAGGTAAAAAATATCTCTTTTGTCAGTCAGTTGTGGTGGCACTCACCTGTAATCAGAGCACTCATGAAGATGAGGCAGGAGGATTGCCACAAGTTCAATACCAGTTTGGGTTATGTAATGAATCTGAGGTCAGTCTGGAGGGCAAGGCAAGACCTTGTCTTAAAAAAAGCAAAGAAGCTAACAACAACAAAAAACAAACTATACATGAAATGTCTTCTTTGTGGCATGGTAAAACAATTGAGCAAGTCAGATCTGATGACCTAAGTGGAATCCCCAGACCTACATGGGCGGAAGGAGAGAACTGGCTCCCACAAAATGTTCTTTGGCCTCCATGAGCACAGTGCACTTACACACACACATATACACGTGTGCGTGTGTGTGTGCGTGTGTGTGTGTGTGTGTGTGTGCCAGTGATTCGCCTATCTCTGCCCCACCAGCCCATGCCTAGCTTTTCAGGCAAGAGCTGGGGATCAAACATAGGCCTTCATATTTCCATGGTAACACTTTACCAACTGAGCTATCCCCTAGCCCTTATTTTTCACATTTAAGGTGTTTAAAAGCTTTCCAGTTCTGTAAAATATCAATATCTTTTCTCTACTTTTTTTTTTTTTTGACAGTGTCTCACAATGTTGCCCTGGTTGTCCTAGAACTCACTCTGTAGGCCATGCTGGCCTCAGACTTAAAGAGATCCACTTGCCTCTGCCTCCTGAGTGCTGGAATCAAAGGTGTGCACTATCAAACCTAGCTTTCTACATTTTTTTTGAAGATGTCATAATGAAACCTTTATTGTACTTACTTTTTATTTCCTTTATTTTTGAGATTATAATTATATTTCTCCATTTCCCTTCCTCTCTCCAACCCTCCCATGGACCACTTCTTTCTTTTAAACTTATCCTTTATAACTAATTATTATTACATTTATATATGCATATACATATATATTCCTAAATATAACTTGTTTAGTCTGTATTGTAATTTGTGTTTTGTTTATCTTGTTGTTTATCTTTGAGAGAGGGTCTCTCCGTTATACAGTTCTGGCTATCCTGAAACTAGCTATATAGGCCAGGTTGGCCTCAAATTCACAGAGAACCACCTGCCTCTGCCTCCCAAGTGCTGGGATTAAAGACCTGGGCCACCACCACCACCTGGGTTTATTTTTAACATCTTTAACAGCAAAGATTCAGACTAGATGCTGAGGATAATGCCTGCTTCCCTGCTCCAAGACCAGAAGATTTTTGTATATGAGCAGTTTATGGGAATTTGCTTTTGGTTATAAAAGCCCCCTTTTCCAATCCCTCCTCAAGTGTACCCGAGGCTTCCAGAGCATGCATCTTGGGTTGTGGTCCTTTTGTTTATTCCCATATGCATTTTTACACTTGGAGTCCCCCACCCCCTGCCCCGTTTTAGGTTGTCACACTGGCCCTTGGCAGCCCTAGAACACAGCGCTTAAGGCACGATCCCAACCCTCTGCACACTGCTTTGTTGATTGCTTGTATGGTTGCCTCATAACAGCCAGATGCATGGTGGTGGGGAGTTGGGCCTCAGACCCACGTAGTATAGGCTCAAACTCACTATGTATCCAAGAATGAGTTTTGCACTTCAGATTTTTGTCTCTTCCTCCTGAATGTAGGAATTACAGATGTGCCTCACCGTGCTAGCTAGGTTTATTCCTTGCTGGGGATGGAACCCAGGGACTTAGTGCATGCTGGACAAGTACTCTATCAACCGAGCTATATCCTCTGATCCCAGAACTGGTGAGATTACTGACCATGTCGGGAATAAAAGGGGCCTCAAAGGAGAGATCAAGCCGCGAAGCCAGACTCTGGCACCAGTTGCCTGGTTCAACTTCAACTCTTGTCAGAGCCATCTGTAAACTTCTCTTTCCTTACTTGTGAAACGGGACACCTACTTCACAGGTCTGCCATGATTAAAGGGATCTGGCTTTCATTACTTAAGATAACGATGGAATAAGTGTTGGGTCCTAGTTTTATTTTCAGGCTTGTGTCCTTCCCCCTTCGCTCCCTCTCCCCCTTCTCCCCCCTCCTCTCCTTTTCCCCCTCTTCCCCTCCTCCCTTCTCCTCTCCCTCCCTCCCCGTTCTACCCCCCCCCCGTGCTCCACGTGCCCCGCGTAAATAAGCGAGCGCGCAGGCGCCAGGAGTTGGTGCCTATTGGTCGCCCCGGCGCTGTCCAGGGCCGTGGGGAGACACTCAGTGGCCTCTGACCGCGGGATCCGCCCGGGGTCGGTTGATCCGCGCGTCTGTGGGTCGCTGAGTCCTGGCCAGCAGCTTCGCCCTCGTCATGGCGCCACTGCTGCAACTGCTGTGGCTGCTGGCCCTGCTCCGGACCGTGGCCCTGGTCCCGGTCCCCGCCAAACCCCGGGCAGACGACGAGCAGGCCTGGGATCTGTCGTCCCCGGAGCTGCTGGCGCCCGCCCGCTTCGCGCTGGATATGTACAATTACGGTCGTGCTGCCGGGATGAGGGCCGTGCTGGGGACTGTACGCGGGCGCGTCCGCCGGGTGAGGAGCGTGGGGAACGGGTGCGGGGCCTGGGTCCGGGAATAATGCAAGGTGAAGTTTGGCTTAAATTTTGGGTGTTGTCCTGGATGGTGGAGAAAAGGACCTGTGCAGGCTGCGACTGAGTAGAGAAGCACAGGTGAGCTACAAGCACCTAAGAGGATCAGAGTAGGGGGTGACCGTGCCAGCCTCACCTTCTCCTCCGTCCAGGTGGGTCGGGGCTCTCTCTTCTCCCTGGAAGCCACAATGGAGGAGCCACCTTGCAATGATCCTCTGGTGTGCCTGCTCCCTGTGACCAATAAAACCTTGGTGAGTGATGGGGTTCCAGCTATTGTTGGCCCTAGGCCAGCAAGCGATTGGAATAATGGGTCCTGTGAAGAAGCAGATGTTACCCCACCCTAAGTTACTAGTAGAGATCAAAATGCACTGAGAGGGTGGGTATTTGGGTGCTGGGTGTGATTGCCTTCTGTGTGGCCCTCCTCTGAGGAGCTTCTAGCTGCTCTTGCCAGGATCTTGTTCCAGTCTGTCTCCAGACTGTCCCTTCTCTTCCTCCAGCTCTGCAGCTTTCAAGTCTTGGATGAGCTAGGAAAACACGTGCTGCTGAGGAGAGACTGTGGCCCAGTGAATACGAAGGTTCCAGGTGCTGGGATAGCTTAAAGAAATTGGGATAGCCTAGACCATATTTGCCTCAGAATACAGCCTTGATTGCATCTCTGTTCCAACCCATTCCAGAGTATGGAAATGAGACTTTCAGTTCATTCCTTCCGATGCTGAACAAGGACCCCTTGCCCCAGGTGAGGAGCCCATACCTGGGAGAGCCAACTGCCCCCTAGTGTCCTGGGGTCAAGCTGAACTTGTAAACAAACACCCTTTTGCCTTCCCAGGACTTTTCTGTAAAGATGGCTACAGTCTTCAAGGACTTCATGGCCACCTATAACCGGACTTACGAAACAAAGGAAGGTAGGACCTAGCCTTTTCTGGACCTGTAACAATCAGACTTGAACCTTCTCCTATCATGGCACCTAATATTGAGGAAGGAAAGGACTCAAGGACTTGTGTCTCTCAAGGACCCCTAATCCCTGAGTTCTTACCCAGCTTTCTAGGCAGCTGTCTTTTCAAGGAAATGTGGACTGTCTCCTCTCTTCCATCTTCTCTTCCTGGCCAGAAACCACAGGCTTCCATCACTCCAGGCAGGGTGGGGTAAATCTGGGAGACCAGATTTTCTTTGTTGGATTCCTTCAGTCATCTAAGCTCTTCCCGTGACCTCCCCTGGGTGACACCCTTAGGCGTCATTTTGGTTACTGCTCTTCTAGTCAAGAAGCCTTGCTCAAGTTCAGGTCCCCAAAGTTGGCCATGCCTCTCACTTTTTCACCTTGATGTCTGCTTCCCCCATGTCTTATTCCACCTGGCCCAGGGATCTGTCCTTACAAACAGCTTCAGGGCCTAAGGCAGTCACTTGGTTACTAAAGCCCTTGCCTTGAAAGTTTAAGACATGAGTTCAGCCCCCAGATCCCACCAAAGAAGCCCAACATGGTGCCCGAGAGAGCAGTGAAATTGGTGACAGAAGCAGACTCATGGCCTGCTAGCTTAGGACTTACTAAGTTCTCAGTCAGTAAGAGATCATCTACGAAAAGAAAAGTGAAAAACCCCAAGGAATGACACCAGGGTTGTCCTTTGATCACGCCCCCCACTCTGAATGCCACCAGGGTTGTCCTTTGATCCCGCCCCCCACTCTGAATGACACCAGAGGTTGTCCTTTGACCCTGCCCCCACTCTGAATGACACCAGAGGTTGTCCTTTGACCCCGCCCCCCACTCTGAATGACACCAGGGTTGTCCTTTGATCACGCCCCCCACTCTGAATGACACCAGAGGTTGTCCTTTGATCACACCCCCACTCTGAATGACTCCAGAGGTTGTCCTTTGATCACACCCCCCACTCTGACACATTCAAAACTTTCAAGCTCAACCCACAGTTCCTCTCACCTGGGGAAGACTGCTTGCTCACCCCTCTTACCTCTCCTTTTATGATGTGGTTGGGTTCAGGCCTCTCCTTTTTGGTCCTCAGAAACCCAGTGGCGCTTGACTGTCTTTACCAGAAACATGGTACGAGTACAGAAGATTCAGGCCCTGGACCGTGGCACAGCTCAATATGGGATTACCAAGTTCAGTGACCTCACAGGTGGGGACAGTGACCAGAGCCATCACAGAACTTGGAGGAAATTAGGTCCTGCTCCTGAAGCTCCTCATCTGGGCCAGTGTAATATATTCAGTCCTGTCTGCCCTGCCCCCCCCCCCCCTACAGAGGAGGAGTTCTACACCATCTACCTGAATCCCCTTTTACGAAATGGTTCTGGCAAGAAGATGAGGCCAGCCAAGTCCATAAATGGTCGTGCCCCGCCCGAATGGGACTGGAGGAAGAAAGGGGCTGTCACCGAAGTGAAGGACCAGGTTGGAGTCCCAGAAGTGGGTTGAGAAGGCGGACTGCATGGGGCCCTGATGAAAGGTAGAGCCTTGACCATGCCCGTTGTCTTGCAGGGCATGTGTGGCTCCTGCTGGGCCTTCTCTGTCACAGGCAATGTGGAGGGCCAGTGGTTCCTGAACCGGGGGACTCTGCTCTCCCTGTCAGAGCAGGGTGAGCATCCTGCTCCAGCCCCCTCACATTCAGACCAGCCTCTCCAGAGGACCCCTTGGAACCAGGCTTCTGTCTCCTAGAGCTCTTGGATTGTGACAAGATGGACAAGGCCTGCTTGGGTGGATTGCCCTCCAATGCCTACACAGCCATAAAGAATTTGGGTATGCATTATTTTGGTCAGAAGGGGCAACAGGTGCCACATCTTTGCAAGAGGGGGAGATGGGTGTGGGAGTCACACAGAGCTGGGTTCTGGTCTTTATGTTGGCCCTTTTTGGCTGATGGTCTACAGCAAGCCAGTTTTGTCAGCCTCAGTTATTCAGCTGTGAAATGGGATAGAAAGTGTCCACTTTATATGACTGTCTTCAATGCCAAATGAGAAAATAGATATATAGATGTAAGATTCTTTTTGTGGGGGAGTGGTTGAGACAGGGTTTCTCTGTGTAACAGTCCTGGCTGGCCTGTAACTCACTGAGATCCACCTGCCTTGGCCTCCTAAGTGCTGGGATTAAAGGCGAGTGCCACCAACACTCAGCTAGATGTGAGATTCTGATGCATGACAAAGACCCTCTGAATCTTGGCATTTTCACTTCCTGGAAGTCTGTGTTTTTACTGTGCTGCTAAACTTGACTGCAACACCTCTCTCTCTCTCTCTCTCTCTCTCTCTCTCTCTCTCTCTCTCTCTCTCTCTCTCTCTCTCCTGAGGAGGGGTATTAAATCAGCCATGGGCTGCAGGATGGTGAGCTAAGGAACTGGTCCAGGAGCCTAATAAGTGACTGAGCTACATTAGCAGTAGACTGTCAGAGCAGGACCAGCAGCAAAGGGCAAAAATGCCAGGAAGCCTGGGATGAGGCCTTAGCAAGGAGGCAGACATGGGAGTAGAGTCCTGTCCACGCCGGTTAATGTAGCTCCTTCCCACATCCTTCCATCCCTAGATATGTCATCTCTAGTCTGAGGAGATTCCTCAGAGACTGGGGCCCTGGGAGTGGGTAAGGAACATATGGCTTCGTGTTTCTGGGATGCTTGTCACTCTTGTGTCTGGAAGAGCACGAGTGAGGGATAAACAGGAGTCTACTTCTTTCCCAGGAGGGCTGGAGACAGAGGATGACTACAGCTACCAGGGCCATGTTCAGGCCTGCAACTTCTCAGCACAGAGAGCCAAAGTCTACATCAATGATTCAGTGGAGCTGAGCAAGAATGAGAACAGTGAGTGGGGGATTAGGGGGTTGGTCCAGGTTGATGTTGCTGGGCCCAGGTAACCACTGACACCGTTTTCCTTTCTCAGAGATGGCAGCCTGGCTGGCCCAGAAAGGACCTATCTCAGTTGCCATCAACGCCTTTGGCATGCAGGTGAGGCCCTGGCCTCTGCTCCTGCCCCATCTTGTGTCTATGCCTGCCTCACATCTCCTTCAAGCTAGCTCTCCACTCCCTGTTTTCTTCTCAGTTCTATCGCCATGGGATCGCCCGCCCTCTCAAGCCCCTCTGCAGCCCTTGGCTCATTGACCATGCTGTGTTGCTGGTGGGCTATGGCAACCGTGAGTTCCACCAGACTCCAGCTTATCCTTTCCTCCATCCCAGGCCCCAGTCAGGGGCTAGATAGCAGCTTCTTAGGCCTTCTGAGGGGAACCTTGTTCTGAAACACCCATGCCTTTTGTAGACAGAAAGACACTGAGACTGTGGGAGGTTGAAGGGTTGTTCTGCAGCAATTGGACAAGTGCTTTCTCCAACCCCTGTAGATGCATGAGATCTCTGTGAGGATGGCAGGCGGGCCTCTGACTTTGTTATTCTCCTAGTTCCTGTTACAAGCTCACTGTAGATATGTGAAGGGTGCGGCAGATGAGTCTCCGAGTGGAGAATTAGGGGTCTCTGACCCCTTGTATTCTGTGTTGTTCCATAGGCTCCAAGACTCCTTACTGGGCCATCAAGAACAGCTGGGGTACTAACTGGGGTGAGGAGGTGAGTTTTGCCTGGTCGGCCCCTGACCCTCTAGCTGTACCCTACCTAAGCACCCTCACCAAGTCCCACTGTCCCTCAGGGTTACTACTACTTGTATCGTGGGTCTGGAGCCTGTGGTGTGAATACCATGGCCAGCTCGGCAGTGGTGAACTGAGGGACTTGCTGGCACAGGACCTGAAGCTGACCATAGTGGCCCCTTCCTTAGCCTGACTCATGCCCAGGCCTCTCAGGAGGCACAGCTGGCTGAGGGACAAGCCCTTGGTGTACCTCAGGGTGAGCAGTGGGCCCTGGGCCCCTTCTTCCCTCCCTCCCTCCCTCTCATGCCCACCTGAAGTTTCTCGGCTGCCTCTTTGTTGAATTGTGGTAAGCTGCGAGGATCCTGAGGTGAAGGAGGCTTTCATGGAAGCCAGTGCTGAGGCACGAACCCCGGGCTCGGGTAAGGTGCAGAATGAAAATACTCTAATCACAAATCTGACTTTGTCCTTAGCAGGCTCTGGCTTCCTGCCTTGATTTTCCTCTGTCTGAGGCTGTAAACTTTTGGTCCCCTTCCACATCCAGGAAACTTGTAACAAATCTTCTCTAAGAGCAATAAAGAGGTATCCTGCTCCCCAGTGTGGTGTAAGTGCTTAGTTTCTGAGGGAAAAGATGGGTCCTAGGGATCCCTGGTGGGTCAAGGTGGGGTAGCTGGTCCCACCCGGGAGCTCCAGGGCCCAGCTTCCCCTTCAGCAACCAAGAGGAGATGGGAGAGGCCCACAGCCTGATCTTTATTCAGAAGCACAGTGCTAGATGAGGTGGAGGCCATTGCTCTGAGGGACGGTGGAATCCTCCACAGAAGTGCCCTCTCTCCTTTTCTGGTAAGAATGTCAGAGGTCACTTTCTCCATAGAGGGCACTGGAGAAAGCCACGTAGTCCAGGGCTCCAGGTGGAGCCCCAGATCCTTTGTAGGGCACCATCCGGTGGATGCAGTACTCAGCCTGCTCGGCTGGGAGCTCTCGCCGCAACTCTTCTGGGGTGATGTAGTTCTGGAAAAGAGGAGACATTAAGGGCCCACAGGTCTTGGGTCATGCCCTAGCCCCCCAATCCCTCCACCACATGGGATTCACTTTATCTCCTGCCAGGATTTTGAAGGAGGCTACAACTTGTTCAGCTGTATCTGTCTCGGCAGTCTCTCGGGTCATGAAGTCAATGAAAGCTTGGAAAGTCACAACCCCTGCTGCATTAGGATCCACCATAGTCATGATGCGAGCAAACTCCACTTCCCCCTGCAGAGACAGAGGGCAGACACTTTATCCATAGCGCTAAAGCCAAGAGGGCCCCTCATGTCCCCTCTTGGGGACTTTCCATACTTGGCTTGTTATCACCCCAGTGAAAACATACCCTCTTCCCAAGACATTAATCAGCTTGGCTTTAAGGAGTCCTTCATGGTAGGCAGAAATCTGCCTTTTGCTCATGCTTTTGCCCATTCCCCCTCTTGCTTGAGAGCTCCAATGTTTCACAATTTAACATTTTTCTTCGGGGAGGGGCAAGATGAGACCTTGATTTACTTCTGTGTTTAACTAGCCTTTGTGTGAGTGTACTGAACAGAGATGGTTATGTGAAGAGGGAGCCAGGCAGAAGGAGGGGAACCGATGGTATTTGTAGAAGTGGTTTGGGGCCTCACCAGGTCATAACCCATGGAGATGAGGCAAGCCCGGAAGTCATCAGGCTCCATCATCCCGTTCCGCTTCTGTAGAGGACAAATGGGTATCAGCCTTGGTCTCCAAATCCCACCAGCCCCCATCTCTTAGCTCAGAGGACTTGGGCTCTGCTGACCCGGTCAAAATGGTTGAAGGATGCCCGGAACTCGTTGAGCTGCTCCTGGCTCAGACCCTTGGCATCTCGGGTCAATACCTGGTTCTCTACCTCATTGATGGTGCGGGCAATGGAGGTGAGCAGCTGTTCCCAACCCACACGAATGTGCTAGAGAGCAAGAGACAAGGCAGTCAGTAGATGGCCAGCTCTTTATCCTTACTTCAGTTTTACTTTTTTTGTTTGTTTGGAGACAGTATAGCCCTGGCTGTCCTAGAACTCTCAATGTGGATCAGGCTGGCCTCAAACTCACAGAAGTCCACCTGCCTCTGCCTCCCAAGTGCTGGATTAAAGACATGCCACCACCACACCTGGCTGTCTAGTTGTTTGTATTCTTTTTTTTTTAAATATTTATTTATTTATTTATTGTGTATACAATATTCTTTCTGTCTGTGTATATGCCTGCAGGCCAGAAGAGGGCACCAGACCTCATTACAGATGGTTGTGAGCCACCATGTGGTTGCTGGGAATTGAACTCAGGACCTTTGGAAGAGCAGGCAACGCTCTTAACCACTGAGTCATCTCTCCAGCCCCCTGTATTCTTAATTCATTATGTGACATTGGAAAAGTTCTCCCCCTTATTGGGCCTTTGTCCCCATCTTGAAGTTCCCCTAAGTAACTCTAAGCAGCCCTTTCTATCTTAAAGTTTATTGGCTTATTATGTATTAAGCATTCATCAACCATGGCCAATCTTGTAGTCTGGCTTTAGGTTGCTTTATGAGTCTAAATAGACTCTTTTCATTTTCCTTTCCTTTCCTCCCTCCTTCCCTCCCTGCCCCTTGCCTTGTGAAGCCTGGGCTGACTCTGAGCTTGCTGTGTAGCTGAGATTGACCTTGAACTCCTGATCCTGGTTCTTGAAAGATCCTCTATCTTTCTAGTGATGGCATTACAGGTGTGCATCAAATCTAGCCTGAACAAGCCACTTCCCATCGCTGGATAGCCACACTGACATGGGACATCGGAAAAGCTTGCCAGGCTGAATTGGTGACCCTCCTGGGACAGATGTGCTCTGTCCATCTATGAGTATATCAGGCCTCCTTCCCCTTTCTCCCAAGCAAGGGTGAGACCCCACCTCCATGCTGTAGACGGTGTGCTTGTTGTCAAAAACCAAGCTCTCCTGCAGCAGCTGGTGGTCACCCTCCAGCCGGTCAATGTTGCTCTTGTAATTGATGATGTTTTGTTCCTGCTGCCGTAGACCCGCCATCTGCTCCTCCAGAGAGCCGGCCAACCCAGCTGCCAGCCGCCCTACCTCCTGTAAGGGTATCCAGACAGGATAAGAACTCTCAACTCCCTCAGTCCCATTCCCTGAGCTGACCCAGCTCTCCACGCCCTTACCTCCACCTTTCCCTGGATCCAGGGTCCTATGGCATTGGCCTGGGCTGCAAACTGTCGCCGGAGCCTCTCGTTCACCTGCTGCCGTGCCAGTTCCTCCTGCAGGGTCTGGTCACGGCTGGGTACCAGCTTTCGGACCTGGGAAAGAGAGTGGTTTGTAACATGACCAAGTCTGGGGGCCAGGAGATGGTTCTGAGGCGAGATGACCTTCAGGCCCTCAAACCTCAGTTCTGGTTCTCATGAAGCAAACTTAGATAAACTGAGGCAAATGACTTCATATTTATAGACTCCAGGTTTCTCATCTGTAAAATGGTGCCCAGTGATATAACGCATATCACTTGTGGATGATATGCACACAATAAATTCTATTTGTCTATCAGTCCTGATAGGGAAGTGGTGTTGGAGGCTTATCCAATGCCAGGAGGAATCTGTGGCAGGCTCAGATCTGGATGGAGGTGGGCTTTATGCCCCATATCTTGGTACACTAGAGGTTTCATTGATTCAAATATGCAAGAGGAAGTGGGGACAATGCAGCGTTGCCAGTGGCACTGACCGTGTCCCACTTATTGTTGATGTCCTGTGAGCTGAGGGTGATGTAGGGGTTGGCAGACTTTGGCCGCAGCCCATACGTTTGGCAGATCTTCTGGATCTCTCCTTGGATGCCCAGGATGGCACCTCGCTCTCGATCAGCCTCAGGCAATGTTGCCTTGAACTGTTCATGTGCTGTTAACAGGCTCTGGGGGAGAACAGGAAGGATCAGCCAGCACACCCACTTACTGCAAGCAACAGAGGTGGCAGAACAGGGAACTAGGCCATTTAGTAGTTGGTACAGGTAGTGGTGGTGCATGCATTTAATCCCAGCACTCAGGAGGCAGAGACAGGCAGATCTCTGTGAGTTTGAGGCCAGCCTGGTCTACAGAGCGAGTTCCAGAACAGGCTCCAAGCCTACAGAGAAACCCTGTCTTGAAAAACAAAAAAGCAAGCAAACAAAAAGAACCTAGGCACCTTGCCTGCTAGCCTAGCACTCCATAACCAGTTTTTGCTGCTTCCTGTTCCTGTTATCCAGGAACCCAAAGGTATGGCTGATGGGATGTGAGACCAGTTTACCTCTCATTACATCCAGTGCCTCCCAGACTTCTCCCAGAATACTTGCACTCACCTGAGTCTCCTCCACAGAGTGCACTAGCCACACGTCCTGCAGGTCCTCAATAGCCCCATCCAGCCAGTTGTTGAAAGGTGCTGCCCGACGAGCAAACTCCAGCTGTAGCTGGTCAATGGTTTCCAGGAGCTTTTCCATCCTCTAGGGCCCAGGGGGACCATGTATCAGACCCTTTGTGGCTTGCTGGCCTCATCACCTTGCCCTTGGTTCCCTGGCCCACCTGCCCACCTCTAGTGCATCTCTCCTCTTCTGGGTCAGTGTACCCAAGTTATCCCACTGGTCGCAAATGGCTTGGCAGCGGCTGTTCACCGAGGCTGCCTCATGGTAGTCCAGCTCACTGGTGGGGTGAAAGGGGAATAGGGATAGAGCCAGACCCTAAGCTAAGTTGAACCCTGGTGAAACCAAGGCAGGGTGAGGTTGCAGGAGTGACAGTTAGGGAGGCAGAGAAGAACTTTCTCTTCCAGGGGTCTCACTCAGTGTGTGATTGCAGGATGACTGGCACCAAAGATCCTCAGCTCCAGTCCCTGGATGTGGAGCCTGAGGTTTCAGAAGCAGGATTATGGGAGAAGGGGAACTGGAGGAGGTAGTTAGTGAGGCCAAGACTGACTGGGATGGGCTAATAACCTAAGGTAAAGGGGTTTTCCCATGCACGTAGGAACTGAGGAGTGCCAGTGGGTAAATGCAAGGGTTGGGGACAGTGTTTCAGAAAGGGCATAGGAAGTAAAGGTGTGACAGAGGAATGGGGTGGGGCTCAGTGAGAGGGGGCGGGACAGGTTTCTTCAGGGCCGGGCTCAATGGAAAGGGGGCGGGGCAGCTCTCTGGTCACGCCTACTTGAGTTCCTGGGCCAGAGCAGCAATGTGCTCCACTCTGTCTTGGTGCGCTGCCAGGTCGCTCTCAAAGGCCTCGTGGCGCCTCAACAGGGCACGCACCTCCTGCAGCGAAGCCGACTCATAGTCGTGTTGATTCAGCATCTCCTCTTTGCCTGCTCGGTAAGAGAACAGGGTCCTCTCACCCAGAGGCCGCCATGGCTGGGGTGTGAGGTTTCCCAGCATACCCTAACATGTCAGCCCAGATCGTTGGCATTGCTTGCCAGTCCCAGCATCGTCCAGGATGACCTTTGCTACAATTTTGGAATTACTTGATATCGACCCTCCCCTCACTCTTCTGTTTTTTGTTTTTGTTTTTGTTTTTTTCTGACACAGGGTCTCTCTATGTGGTCCTGCTGGAACTCTCTATGTTGACCAGGTTAGCCCCGAACTCAGAGAACTGCT